CTCTCTCTCTCTCTCTCTCTCTCTCTCTCTCTCTCTCTCTCTCTCTCTCTCTCTCTTGCTCTTGCTTCCCTAACCTATCCTTTGGCTACAGAAAAAAATATTTCGTTGGAATCGCACACCTGGTCATATTCTTTCGCTTTCAACCGCTTTTCACGGATGCTACTTACGCAAATGACCCCACGATACCTTGGCAATAATGGCCCAGTGGAAAGAATAAACTTAAATTTTTCACCTGGCACCCACCCAGTTTCCGGGGGTAAAACCATCAAAGCGATTTTACCATGTCTCCCGCCTCTACGTCAATGTTTGCGAGGCTGCGGGCGAGAGAGAACTTTTTAATTGGCTACCCTTAATTAGTTAACCAGCAAAGTCTCGGTAATTATTCTGTTTCTCGCTCCGTTTCCGTACGGCCCCGACCTGTCCGTCCTCCTCCCATCCGACCTGCTGCTTCATCGCTTTTTCCTCATCCTCCTTCATATTCGTCCTCCTCCCTCCTTCTCTTCTCTTTCTCTCCTTTCTTTCTTTCTTTCTTTCTTTCTTTCTCTTTCTCTTCTCGTAGAGTTCTTGTTACGAAGCTTTGGAGCCGCCATCATCGTATCAAGCGATTGATATTTGCTGAACTTCGTAACGAAGAAAACTATCAAAATATAGAATAATGTTCGAGAGAAAAAAAATTCGAATATAAAATAATTTTATAATCGGGATATATATATTGATGGTGACAATGATTGATTGATTAGTAGAGCAACATATTTTATTATAGAATTCGATATTTCAAAATTTTCTAAAATTTCATTATATTTAAGAAAATCACGATAAATAGTAATAATTTATGAATGAAATATCTTTTTTTCTTTTCCAGAAGGTGGAAGACAGATTGGCCCCCACGCTTGCACGGTTTGTCAAAATATCGTGGAAGGAAACACGCAGAGCAGGGCATTGCCGCGAAGTCAAGCGTCCCAGTATGGTCTGCGAGAGGATCAGATCGCACCTGGTGCGCGCGTGTGCAATACCTGTAGGTGTAAAGCAGTTAGAGGACGATATACAGCGTGTCCATTGCCAGGTTGCCCGAATTTAAACAACGCCTCAAAGACAAGGGTAAAAAGATTGCGAGCTTTACCCGCCAAGTGGCTCGATCTACCAGCTGAAATTCGTGATCCGATTATTCAAGAATTTCGTAAGTAATCAATGAGTAAATATACGAGAGTAGTAAATATAATATAAATATATATATATATTGTAAAATTACATAAAAATATAAACAATTTAACAAAAATTATGCGTCGAATTATTTTTCTCTATAATTTATCGAAATATCAATTTTCAAAAATATTTATCGATAATGTAATGTTTATTCTTTAATTTCTTTTTCATCCAGAAATACCAAGTAACGCGACGAAATGTTGTTCGGCCTGCTTCAATCGAATATCTCGTCGATTGGCGCCACACCTAACGGGAAGTGCCGAGGTGCCCGAAGACTCAGCCGATTCCCTTGCCCGACAATGGACAGACGAGGAATTGGAACAGCTGAGGAGAGCTCTTCGAGAGCATGGAACCAATTGGGTGAAAGTTGCCGAACAAATACCAGGAAAGACGAATCATCAATGCAAAAACTATTACTTTGCTTATCGGAAAAAGTTAAGCTTAGATCAGGTGGTTGCAGAGTATTATCAATCTCTAGGCGAAGAAAGGAGACCTTGTTTGACAGATGAAGAAGAAAGTGGTAGCAGTACGAGTAGTTGTGATGAATTGGCAGTAAGTTGTTGGTTGATGATAATATTTGAAAGAATATAGGTTTAATTTAGATATATTTCATAACCAGTGTATTTTTTTTTTTAAATTATAATATATAATTATATAAATATAATATAAATTATACTATATTGTAAAACAATCCATTCAGAATATAAATACTTAAATGGTTGAATTGAACATTTTTTTCTTTTTTTAGGTCCATGATTCAAGCGATACAGCTAGTGCAGGCAGTCCAGCGAACAATTTGTCCAGTGGTACACCAGGTACACCGGGTGCCACAGCATCCTCGAATCTGCCGATAGCTTTCTCGCGATCGGCAGATCAAAAACTTGGTGAGAAATTAGCGGATATTGCTGTGGTATCATTAGTACCGCCGGTGAGCATAGGTCCGTCGCAACAGTCTTCCACCAGTGGAAGTAGCAATGCTGCTTCAGCTGGTACTAGAGAAGATTATGATAGCTCCGCCACGGTAAGACTAAAGTTTTTATCCGGTTGACAGTTAAGAAGGAGATACTAGAGTAAATTATATAGCTTTTATAGTATTTGTGATAGAAACATTTTAATGCGTTTCTTGCTACATGAATCATGATTAATGTTAATATTTAAAGCATTTATTAATTTTATTTTAATAAGATGTTTATTATATTTTTATTAAATGCATTTATTTTTTTTTTTATATATTTATATATTTAATAATTATTTTTTGAAACGTTATTTTTTATATTAAGACACATTTTGCTATGTATATTTTTATATATGAATTTATAGTGATTAAATTTCTTATAATTGTAATTTAATTATTTATATAAAATTTATATATAAAAATTTTTTCATTTCCAAGGATATATGTATAATATAAGAATATTTGATTTAATTACTTTATATTATTTTTTCTTTTATATTAAAGATTATTTTACATTAAAGAATTATCAAAAACTTATTTAAAAATTGAGAATTGATTAAATCATATTAAATATAATATATTTAACAATTTAATTATCCTGTAGCATTTAAACGTATTAAAATGATCCCAATGCATTTTATGTTTTATTTTTCTTATTTTGTTTTATATTTAAATATAGAAAGAAGTTTGTTACTTGATAGGGCCGTCTGATAGAGGTTCGCTGATTGTTTCAGGAGACGGCGGACGAAGGTCAGGGAGGTACCGATTTAGAAAATAATGGTGTGGTTGTCACGTTGACAACTGCTAATAATCCCACATCATTGCAACAACAGCATCAGCAATCTCATCAACAAGTTGCACAACCTTCGCATTCACCACCATCCACTACTAGCAACAACTCCAATCCCCTCACTGTGAAGGATCTTATGCTTGGTGTTATTGAGATGCAATTGAAACGTAATCCTAATAGTCCAGCTGGTACCAGTGGTCCTTCAGTATCAATAAATTCTGGAACACCAACGATATCGAGCATATTAAAAACGGATCATAGAAATGATATTACATTTGTAAGAGAATATAAACCGACATCAACTATGGCAAATACTAATATGTCAAGGGACTCGAATTTGGCTACGTTGTCAGTGGTATCTGGTCCTCATCATGGTCATCGTTCTGCTTCTAGTCCTCAGCAAATTGGTAAGTTATATAAAAGAATATTATTTTGTTACAAATTATTTCTAAAAACTAGTGATTCTTTTTTTTTTTTTAGAAATTATGTTGAATTAATGAATTATGAAATAAATTTGTACAATTATATATAAAAATTATTTTATTAGGTCAAATGCAAGCAACAATTACTCCCTGTCCACCCGCGCCATCGAACAATCAGTCATCTACATCAGACATACTTCCAAAGGAAGGTTTAGTTGTGATGCAAGTACAACAAGCATTACGGGAAAGCACTGAGGGCACTCTTGATTTAAGCATTAAAAAACCAAGACAACAACAAGAATATAATCATTCCCTTCAAACACTTCATAAACCACCGACGGTCACTCTCTATCGGCCAGAACCTTCGAGTGCTTATTATCATCCTCATGCCCATGCGGAACAAGGTCGTGGCGCCAAAAGTCCATTGGTGTACGCGTCGTCTCCACGACCTCAAGCACCTCTTACACCTAAAATGAATAAAGTTGCAGTACCACCACCACATCCTAAATTGTCGCCTAAATTGAGCGCAATAGTGACAACAAGCCATAAAAGTGGTTCTATTACACACGGAACTCCTGTGTCTAATACACGTTATGAAGGTCTTCTTAGACAGATGACACCTCCAGGAAATCCTGGCAGTGCAGCTGGAACACCTAATTTGACTAGCGGTGCAGGGGCTGTGAATGCACCTAGTAATCAAGGACCTAAAGAAACAGGATCCATAACTCAAGGAACTCCTGTTCATCCCTATGTGGATAAGCGTGCACCAATGTATGATTATCATAGAACAATCAGGCATTCACCTGTAACAACAGGTAATATTCCTGGTCAAGGTCAGACTCAAGCCGGAACAGCAGCAGTAGTAGTGACGCATAGCAATCAATATAATTCTTATTCGGGACGACCACCTCCTAGCTATACTATGGAGCAACAGCTATCGTCAAGACAAATTATTATGAATGATTATATAACCAGTCAACAAATGCATGCACGAAGTCGAAGTGCTGGCACGTCTGAGGGTAATAGTAAGAATGAAGGACCTTCGACGTTATATTATACCAGCACACCTCCACCTCAAACCCATACACAACCTCGTCAAGGTGTGATACAAAGGCACAATCCGCAAAAGCAAATTCATTATCCGCCACCACCACCAGGACTGGAGGCCTTTTCCAGTTTGGTGGATGTTGCTGTACAGCAACCAAGTCTTCCGGTTCCTCATCCACATGGACATCCTGCGTCTGGGAGTAGCAGTCACGAAGGTCTTGGTAAGACCATGGCAGACAGATTGTTGGCCGACCGTTATGGGGATAAACATCGTTTAACTATGCATCAAGATCATAGAATGGCAGTAGCTCACCATCATCAACGTGATAGAGAAAGGGAACGAGATCTAGTTCATTTGCGCGAGAAGGAAGAATATAGATTACAGAGAGAGAAAGAGATTCAACAACAGGAACATAGATTGGTTCAGCAAAGAGAAAAAGATGTACAACATGCTGAACACAGATTGTCAATACAGCAACGAGAAAAAGATATACAACATACTGATCATCGTCTTACCGTCCATCAACAAAGAGAAAAAGAGATTCATCAGCAGATGGTAGTAGCTGCTGCTCAACGTGAAAAAGAACATCAAGAACATCGTTTGGCTGTACAACAACAAAGAGAAAGAGATCTAGCACATTTACAACAGCAACAACAACAACAACAGCTTCAACAACATATTCAACAGCAACAGAGGATGGAGGTTGAAAGAAGGCAACATATGGCTCAATTGTACAGAGATCAACAGCAGCAACAACTTGATAGGGATAGCCGATTAATAAATAGTGGATTTACTCAATCCTCTAGGCTACAACAACCGCAACAATCCCAGCAACAACAACAACAGCAACAACAGTCATCTTCTAGACAAAACCAGTCCTCCAATCAACAACAAAATGAATCAGCATCTACATTAACTGCTGCCAGTCTGATAGATGCTATTATAACACATCAAATTAACCAAAGTGTTGAAAATACTGGTGGAAATGCCCAACCACAACGACCTGGTGATCGTCTTTTCCAGGTAACTTGTGTTAGTGTTAGCGATCAAATATTGTTTATTAATGTTTTGTATGTATAAAACGCAGATATGCCTTATACAATAGAAAATTTTTTAGGGATTTCACCGAGAAGCTCCAGTAGAACCTAATGGGATGGCTCACAGTCCTGCTGGCGATGGAAATGGTGGCAACAGTGGAGCTGGGAATGCAGGCGGCAATGGAGGAGGTGGCAATAAACCTATTACTCTTGGAGAACATGTTGATCATATTGTTTCTAAAGATTATGGTCCTCCACATTCCTCGTATAGATCGTATAGTGGGTAAGTTTTCAATACAATATAATTTATTATATTTAATTTCATATGCAAAATTTATATTCGAATAATAAAATTTTGAACAAGCAATTGAGAATGGAAAAAATTGTTTATTATAGCATGGAATATATCTATTTAATATATATAGTTTTTATATAACTACTTATATAAAAATCAAATTTTTTTATATTAAATAAAATTAATCGATATTATACAAAGATTATTTTTCATTTAATTAGATATCAAATTTCGGAAGATCAGTGGAAGAGACGAAAAGCTAACGAACCCGATTCCGTGAAGACTGGAGATGAGCGTCAAATAATTCGAGTTACGCAGCAACAATCGCAACAACAGCAACAGCAGCAGCAGCAACAACAACAGCAGCAACAGCAACACCAACATCAACAGTCAGCAGCATCGGTAGGAAAACAATCGTTCCATTCAGTCGAACCTGTTTCACCTCCGGAAACAGGTACTAATCACTATGGGCGTCGCCTATACGAAACAACCACTGCCACATCGACTTCCGGAACTCCTTCCAAGCCTCATCTGTCACCTTTGGATTACGTAAAGAATAAGATCGTTGAAGTGATGCGTACATCTGAAGATGATAAAGGGGGTAACACAACCGATAGAAATGGAGGAAACATCACAAGTGCAGAAAAAGATGAGAAAATTGGAGGAAATGTGGAAAGTCCCTCAAGTGGAGAAATGATGGTGGATGAGACACCAAATAAAACTCCTCAACCACCTGCACCAGCGCCTACTACAACTTTTTATCCGTTTAGTGCGTTAGGCGTTCATACTGGCCCACCTCCTGCGCCGCCACCCCCAACTTCTGGATCTGCTTCTGTGACAAAATCTGAACAAATGCAAGCCGAACCAGCACCATTGCTTTCTGCGCAGTACGAGCCACTTTCTGATGAGGATTGATAGTCTAATAAGTTAGCAACGTGTGCTAATCTACACGCTGTGGAAATGTTCTTCTTAGGGTATTTATGCAGTTTGTTCATACTGGACGGAAGTCTTATTCAGACTACAACAATAAATATCGAATATTTCACCATTACCAATGTTTTTCGGGCGTTAGCCATTGCGTTCTAACTGGTCGTATCTAATAATTTTTCTAATGATAATTGAATCGAAAGAATTTCTTATTTCGTTCCATTTCGTTCGTTTGCTCACTTTTTTCTTTTCCTTTTTTTTTTTATCACGAACTTTATCGTATTCCGAAATGGAAATTATAAATACGATGGTTTTAAATAGAGTTTATTATTTTATAAATTTCATATTCCGTCAATGTATTCTTTTAGTCGAGGATCGTTTCCGTACTCTCAGTGTACATGTAAATGTGATTATTTTATGGAAGCATTATTATTTTTTTAATGCTCATCCAGCGTACGAGAAACTAATTAGCTGCGTAATTTTAATTATTAATTGATATTTTTTTACGCATTACTTATTCTTCACGCTAATATGTACGTAAATGTTGTGTATAATTATCAGCTAGATTAAATATAATTATTTCCATTTTCACCGCCACTTATTTTTGTTTTTTAAGAAAATACTTTTTTTTTAGATATCGTTAATTTCTAACATGGAGTTGTAAAAACCATGAGGATCTTTTAATTTTAAAACGACACAGAACAATCTACGCATATGTTATATAAAATTATTAAATCTTCTAGTACATATACAGTACATATATTGGATCGTGATATTTAATATTTTTTTAATGAACTTGAAAAATATATATATATGAAATATTTCTAATGCATTCAAAAACTCGTGAAAATGTTAAATTATCATTCTAAACATTTTTATGTTTATATATAGAAAGAAATGTTCATCGTACAAAAGTTCTCGATCCTTTCTAAGATTAGAAACAAACATTATCGAAAAATTCGACCTGTGGAACGTCCAGGCTAGCCCAAGTTTACAATGGAGACGCTTTTTTGTATATAATGAATGATATATAATCGTTAAAAAAATGATACAACGCTAAAAAGGCATACGTGTTTTTATTTGGAATGAGTCTGTGATGTGTCTGGAATTATAAAAAATAGCTTCAACTGTTGTACCAGTGCGAAAGGCATATTAGCCTCAAATTTGACAAGGAGTCAATATAATTGACGTAAGAGACATATGAAATGCATTCTCGCACATATTGACAGTGTACTGTCTTAAAGAGATCACTTTAAATATTCTCTCCTTGGTGAAGTGGGTTTTAAACAAAACAACAAAAAAAAAAAGTATAATTCTAAGTGTTGTACATAGTACACAATATTAATTTTTAAGTTGAACAAGTAGGTATATGATGGCTAGTTTAATCGTATGCTATATTGTAAGAATCTAGACTTAGTATAAGTGACGTAGCTAGCATTTAGGAATTAGACGCCATGAACTGACTAGGGAAAAAAAATTTCCCGAACTACGTTCTCTTATTAATAAAAAAAGAGATAAAAGAAAATATATACAGGCGATTTTGATTGATGGAAAAAATTATCATCCATCATAAGCGAATGGATGTGAATTTTATTTTATTTGATTGAAATTATAGAATCTGAATGTACGCTCTGACTATCAAACAAACAAAATACATTATGCAATTATACATATTACAAAACAAATTACATTTTTCACTTATTCACACATATATACACATGCATACATCGGTGAATACACATGTACACATAAAAAATTTTTATATAGCCTAATTTTATATTTGTATGCAAAACGTAACCTTCAACCATGCGATTTGCTCCTTCATTTAGTCACGCGACACTCAAAACGAGCCTTAGTCCCTTTGACATAAGAAAATTATTGCTTTTTATTGCAACATTTGCTGCACCGTAAATCGCTTCTACCAAACGTGTTACGATATACATATACATGCATGTATGAATGTATGTATGATGAATGCATGTACGATGGATGTATGTATGTATGCATGTACGTATGTATGTATGTATATGCTTAATATATACATATATTTAATATATATATGTATTTTCTCGTACTTTATTTCAGTATGCACTTTTGTGTGAGCTTACGAAGCTCTTGAGAAGTAAAATACATTCGGTCAGATAATGCGAGTGCCTCTACATTTGCGCAGCCTATTGTTATAAAATGAATATACATAATTTTGTTATCTTTATATTATGGGTCGCGGTAATATCATTTTCGTTTCGTTTTACGTATTCCATTTCGTTTCCGCGAGGATCATATCGAAGGAGTGTCCAATATATATATATGTACAAACTGCACACGTGAAATGTGTTCGATAGAGAATGTTTAAATCATAATGTTGATAAAATAGAATTCGTTTACATCTATATAAATACATATATATATGACACATATATATATATATATGTATATATGTGTATGTATGTATGTGTGCTGCGACATACGATTGTTCAGTGTATCGGACAATGTCCAAGAAAAAAAAAAAACAAATGTCTCGAGACCGATATTATAAGAAAAAAGATCTTATAAAGCCTCCTTGATATCGATCACGAGTTGATAAAATAATATAATTTTGAAATTTGAAGAGTTCTGTGAAGTGTGTTATTTCTTGAACATTTGTTTTAGCGATTTCATTTTTCTTGAGAACAAAAAATAAAAGGAAAAGTTTTCCTATAGACTTAGCACAGGAAATACTCCGTAGTTTATAATAAACAGTGGTATATATATCGGGACACTTCAGGATTGCGAATTCGTTGTTTACCTCTCGCGAGTTACACGTTACCGTCGTTTATTTTTAGAGAGAAAGGGAGAGAGAGAGAGGGAGAGAAAGAAAAAATGAATGAATGCAAATAAATCGTTTGATAAAACTGTGTCTGTAAATAAACAAACTATTAACCTTCGCTTCGCCAGTCTCATGTTAAG